TAATAATAATAATAATAATAATAATAATAATAATAATAATAATAATAATAATAATAATAATAATAATAATAAAGTTGGAAGGGACCTTGGAGGTCATCTAGTCCAACCCCCTGCTCAGGCAGGAAACCCTATACCATTTCAGACAAATGGCTGTCCAGTCTCTTCTTAAAAACCTCCAGTGTTGGAGCATTCACCACTTTTGGAGGCAGGTTGTTCCACTAGTTAATTGTTCTAACTGTCAGGAAGTTTCTCCTTAGTTCTAGGTTGCTTCTCTCCTTGATGAGTTTCCATCCATTGCTTCTTGTCCTGCCTTCAGGTGCTTTGGAGAGTAGCTTGACTCCCTCTTCTTTGGGGCAGCCCCTGAGATATTGGAAGACTGCTATCATGTCCCCCCTCGTCCTTCTCTTCGTTAAACTAGACATACCCAATTCCAGCAACCGTTCCTTATATGCTTTAGCCTCCAGTCCCCTAATCATCTTTGTTGCTCTTCTCTGTACTCTTTCTAGAGTCTCAATGGTCAAGGACTCTCTGGAGCATGACTTCCATCCTTGTATCAGATGTTGGGACACCAGTGTGCAAAGGCAGAGTTTGTGCAAGGACATTATGACAAACGTGTCATCACGTTGGAGATCTGTGCTTTGTGGCAGATGTCCCTGGCCCCTCCGAGGCCTCGTCTGCTGTATGGGGATGATGTTTAGCTAATGTCCTAGCCAAGGCTTAATCCTCCAAAGACTTTTATCTGCCAAGCTTTGGGCTTTAACACAGCACCAACATTCATACCCCCTCTGCCTCCGTTCTGCACATTTTCCTGGAAACCTGAGTGATATGTCAAGGGTGCTATTAAAACGGCAGGCAAAGCCATGTAAGCTCAGGATTAGTCAGAGCTATTTCACACTGGACAGTTAGGAAACGAATCATGGCCCCTGCGTGTTTTGCAGGCAGGCAGGCAATTGGAAGAAGGATGCTTGAAGGAAGGAAAGAGGAGGGAGGGAGGGAGGGAGGGAGGAAGGAAGGAAATGGGACGGAAGGAAGGAGAGGGAAGAAGGAAGGAGATGGGAAGAGTGGAAGGAAGGAAGGAAGGAAGGAAGGAGATGGGATGGAAGGAAGGAGATGGAAGAAGGAAGGAGATGGGAAGAGTAGAAAGAGAAGGAAGGAAGGAAGGAAGGAAGGAAGGAAGGAAGGAAGGAAGGAAGGAAGGAAGGAAGGAAGGAAGGAGATGGAAGAAGGAAGGAGATGGGAAGAGTGGAAAGAAAGAAGGAAGGAAGAAAGGAAATGGTAGAAGGAAGGAAAAAGTAGAAGGAAGAAGGAGGGAAGGAAGGAGATGTGAAGGAAAAATGATGGAAATGGAATGGAAATGGAAATGAAATGGGAAGGAAGGAAGGAAGGAAAGAAATGGGACAGAAGGAAGGAGATGGAAGAAGGAAGGAGATGGGAAGAGTGGAAGGAAGGAAGGAAAGAAATGGTAGAAGGAAGGAAAATGTAGGAGGAAGAAGGAAGGAAGGAGATGTGAAGGAAAAATGATGGCAATGGAATGGAAGGATGGAAATGGGAAGGAAGGAAGGAAGGAAAGAAAGAAAGAAAGAAATGGGATGGAAGGAAGAAGATGGTAAGAGTGGAAAGAAAGAAGGAAGGAAGGAAATGGTAGAAGGAAGGAAAAAGTAGGAGGAAGAAGGAAGGAAGGAAGGAGATATGAAGGAAAAAAATGGAATGGAAGGAAGGAATTTGGGAGGAAGGTGGAAGGAAGGAAGGAAGGAAGGAAGGAAGGAAGGAAGGAAGGAAGGAAGGAAGGAGGAAGGAAGGAAGGAAGGAAGGAAGGAAGGAAGGAAGGAAGGAAGGAAGGAAGGAAGGAAGGAAAGAAAGAAAGAATTTTCTTTATATCTTTTCCATCCGACAACTGAGCCACAACTGAGAAAGATTTCCCTATTTTACCTCAGGTGTCTTAGGCATGGCTGGGGGAAACTGGACCAGATTCACCCGGTTTTTCTTTTTTATTATTTTTAGATTAAAGACAGCCCACCCAACCCTTCTCCACGTCATGTTTCTCACCCTCATTTTCTCTCTCCGTGGAGCCCATCACCATGACCGGGATGCCAAAGACAGACGCTAACGCCCAGATGCCGATGTTGACCACTTTGGCCTTGTGAGGGGTACGGATATCCAGGGCCTTGATGGGATGGCAGATGGCGATGTAGCGGTCCACGCTCATCATGGTCAGAGTGAAGGTGCTGGTGAACATGTTGTAGTAGTCAATGGAGATGGCAATCTTGCAGAGGGCATTTCCAAAAGGCCAGGAGCCCATGAAGGTATCCGTGCCTTGGAAAGGTAAGGTCATGAGGCACAAGGTGTCAGCTAAGGCCAGGTTGAAGATGTAGATGTTGGTGGCTGTCTTCATTTTGGTGAATCTACAGAGCAAGGAAGAAACACAAAGAAGAAGACACTGAAAGTGAATGTGCTCCACATCCAATCCTTGGGGGGTGGGGGGCAGACATTTTCCAGCATTTCCAAATTCCACTCGTTCAAAACTGGCTTCTTTTAGGACAGAATAACAGAGTTGGAAAAGATCCCGGAGGTCATCCAATCCAGAGCTTTTCAACCTTTTCACCCATTGCACCACTTTTAGGATATGGCAACATCCGAGTATCACTAGTCGCCTAGCAAAGGGTCAAAAACTTGATGACCAAAAAAAAAATAATAGAAAAAAGTGATAAAATATAGGTAGTCCTCGACTTACAACAATTCGCTTAGTGACTGTTCGAACTCACAATGACACTAAAAAAAGTGCCCCCCAAGCCACAGCCGAGCAAGACACCTGCCTGCCCACTGGGCGGCACTCTTCCTCCTGTCTGAGGTTTTCATTGTTGTGAGCATTTCTATTGAGGATTGGCAGTGGGGGTGGGGTGGGGGGGTGTTTGGTTTTTATTCCCCCGTCTGCTGGGTGGTTGCAGCAGGTTTTGGTCACTTCACATGACCCTGGGACACTGTGACCGTCAGAAATATG